GTGGATCTGTTCCACCCCAGCCTCTCCCCACAAAGCCAGTGGATCAGGGGAGGCCCCAGGCAGCACTGGCCTCAACTTCAAGGCCTGTAGGAGCAGTAGGAGACTCAGATCAGAGAGCAGATGATCAAACAGCAGCCTTGGGAGCTCTGAGCATTGGTCTTAGGAGGGGGAGGGGAGGAAACTGGAGCAAGGAGAAGCTCAAAGAAGGGCCCTCCTGCATATCAGAGGCTTGGGTGCTCTGGAGGTTGATGATTTCTGCCACGCAAGTTCCTCTATTTGTCCTCCAAATCTAGAATCCTGGAATGGTGTGTGGCATGTACACTCAGGGGAAATACAATATCCCCAAACCCCTGGTCCCCACTCCCTGCCCCATCCCGGCGCTATCCTATCTTCCCACAGGCTCATATCCAACTTCTTTTTTGGTCTCCCAGTATTTTCCACCCAGCTTTCCACCGCCCTGGGCACTTGGAGATAGGCAGGAAGCAGCCAGAAGGTTGCGAGGCATAACAGCTGGGAGGGGGCGCTCCCTCTTCCCCTCCCACTGCTGCTGGGTCTCTGATCTCTCACCGTTCCTCAGGCAATTACAGAGCAAGCGGCTAGGGTTGTCAGCTCAGCAGGCCTTCTACCCCCCACCAGCACCACCAAGGGCAAAGGAGCGGGGAGGGGATGTGTTCCACAGATGGAGCCAAGGCCGGGTCTGCCAAGGGTGACAGACAGAGTGAGAAGAGGCAGGAGGGAGCAGGAGACAAAGACAGATGTAGGAAGACAGCGCTAACCACGATGGAGACGGTTAGGGAGGTGGGGAAATTCAGAAACGGAGACCCAGGCAGCAGGGAAAGGGAGAGAAGAGGAAACCGGAGCACAAAGGGTGAGAGGCAGCCGCAGAGAGCGCTGCTGAGAAATGGCAGAAAGAGCGAGAAGAGTGAGGGGTGGGGGTGGGGGTGGGCGTGTGCACGTGCGCGTGCGCACAGGCCGCCTGCACAGCATCCTTGTCCCTAGGGGCTGTGCCAGGCAAGGGGCGGGGAGGAAGGAAGATGGTCCCGGGTCAGTGGAGGGGCTTCCAAGTGTGGACATCATGCTGGCCTGGGAGCAGGGTAGAGACAGACAGAGGGTGGAGAAGCTGTGAGCTGGGGCCGGAAGAGCCTACAAAGCCCCATGCAACAGAGCATCAAGGCCCTGCCCACTTGTGGCACTGGGCAAGGGACGGCCGTGAGACAGGATGAATGGTGCACTGCTGGCTGACCCATGCCATGCCAGGGAACAGGTGGTGGGTTTCCTGCTGTGGGTAGGGATGGGAGAGGGAAAAGCACCCAGCAGATCCCAGAGAAGCCTTCCAATATTGCTGCTGGCTGGGAGTAAGTGGCCACCTGGCTGGAGGAGACACACATGTGTTAGGCCAACAGTGATCATGTCTGACCATGCACTGAGTGGACAGTAGCCGCTGCGCTGGGGCAGTTGAAGGTGGGACCGTTCCTGAGTAAGTCCGGTCCCAAACCCATCCTCCCTGGTGGGAAAGGACCAGGGAGGCAAGGGTCAGGCCCAGCAGCCTACAGGGAGGGGTTCAGCCCCAGAAGAACCTCACCCCATCCCACCCTACCTGGCCTCCCACTATGACCGCAGGTCCCTCAGGGAGTCCTCTGTCCTCTGCTCCGAAATGCCTGCTTCGGTCTGACGGGAAGCAGCTTGCCAGGGAGGGACCTGGGAGGTCGTGGAGCCTGGCTAGACCTGGGGTGGCTGCCTCCTCTCTGAAAACACACACACACACACACACACACACACACACCATCACCACCACCACCACCACCACACACCTTGGGAAGGGAACCTCCAGCGGTGCCCTGCACATGTGCCCTGCACACCTGCCTGTCAGTTCTCAGGTTCTGCCTGGAGTTCCTCTCAAAGGAGAAGCAACAAGAGGGCCCTTCAACAGCACAGCAGAGACTCCCCAGCTTCTCCTGCCCTTGTCTTCTGGGGACATGGTGCCTGGTGACCCAATGGGCCAGAGTGGGGGTGGGGCTGGGGGCTCAGCACAGGGCACATGACAGGGTCAGAGTGTGGTGCTAGGCCCATATGCTTGCAGGCCTGGGAGCCTGGGGGTCTTTTGTGCCTGTTGGTGTGTATATGATGGTGTGGGTGTCACTTACACCCCTTGCACTGTGTCCCTTTAAGGCTCCCGCTGGCCCTCCCCCTGAGGCTGTGGCTGGCAGGTTTCTATGGTGATGCAGCCCAAGTCCCTCAGTAGCAGAGGTAGGGGAGCCAGAGGTGGGGAAGCCAAGGAAAGCCTTGTTATGTGTTATGTAGACAGCACATAAAGGGGGCTGCTCCAGGGAGTCCCCACAGGTACCTGGGGGCCCAGAAGTCCTTTATGACTGCTACTTAGTCCCTGCACTCCCCACCTCACCCCTCCCTAAGGGGGTACCCCCCAGAGAGTGAGCCTTCAGCCCCCTCATCTCGCCTGAGGCTTTAGTCTCCAAGGCAACTACAGCTCACCTGTCATGGACCATTCTCCTTAAAAGATGGGGAGAAGAGACAGAGGTTTACCCTTTGTGGGGGTGCAGGGAGGATGATCTTGACTACTGGGAAAGGGAGGGAGGAGCCCCACTCCATCCCCGCAATCACATCCCTCTGTGGTCTGTTCTATTAAATCAACCCTCGGCGTGGACTTACCACATACCAGAAAGTCTCATGAGCACTTCCAAGCACATCCACTCATCTCCTCCCCAGATTTGCCCCAGGGAGAGAGGTGCTATCATCATCCCCATTTTACAGATGAGAAACGGAGGCTCAGAAAACTGGAAACTGTGTCCAAGATCACAGAGCTGGCACTGGCTCTCAGCAGGGGTGGGGTTCTAGAGGGCATGGTGGCTCCCCAAGTTGCCTCTCAGAGGCTCTGGCATCCTAATATGTGTGCCTGCTAGGCTTCCCAGGGGACCAGTGGCCTGAGCAAGGATGGCCTCCAAGCCATCCTGCCCCACGGGGAGGGCTTATTTGCCAGGCAGATGGCAGGCAAATGTGGGGGGCAGGGAGTGACATCTTGGGATGGAGGCCATGCGGAAGAAGGATGTGATCAACATCACGTCTCAGCACAGAGCTGAAGCCTGGCACTAAACAAACCCCCAAGTCCCCCACCCAGGTACTCAGTCCAAGAGAAGGCCAACTCCTTTCCCTTTTGGGTTTGGGGACAGGCTGGTTTCTTGGTCCCCTCTTCTGCTGTCTGAAATCTGGAGGCTCCAGAACCCTCCCAGAGAGGCCTGTCTCCAATCAGCACTTAGGGACAGCAGTAGACCCATTCTTGTGTCAAAGGGGATACTGATGCCCAGCAGGTGGCAAGGCTTCAGCCTCCCAGACCCCTAGAAGGCCAGAGAAATGCGGTGGCAGCAAAAATAGGGCTCCTCTCCAGCCCCGGGCCTCCTCAGTGAGCTAGGATAACCCTAGTACTAGAGGGGACTTCAGGGGTCAGGCCAGAAGGAACAGAGTGCATCCAGTTCCTGGGGCTGTGGCCTGAAAAGCAGAGCAGGGAGGGAGTCGAGCCTGAGGCAGGGAGAGGCCCTGGCCCACATCAGTCCTGGAACACCTAGCCTGTGTTGGTTTGAGGGGGCGGGGTGGAGGTGCCTGGAAACAGCTCAGACACTGCCAGGCCCCATCGGCCCCCTCCAGGGGCCCCACTCCCAAAGGGTTAAAGGGCAGAGGGGGACACAGGAAGCCCGGGGGCGGACAATGGAGCCTCTGTGATCCCCAGGGCTTGGGCATTCCTAAGTCATGAACACAGACGCAGATGGCTGGGGGAGAGGGCCACAGGGAACCCCCCTCCACTGAAGCACAGCCTGGGTTGGCCAGAGGCTCTGTCCCCATATCATGCATCGCTGCTTCCAACCACTGCAGCCGCCACCCTCAGCCCCACCCCTTCCCAGCACAGGCCCTGTTGGGGCATCTGAGGAGACCCACGTGGCCACATGACAATATCTGTGTGCATGCTGGCTCATGAACACACACATACATGCAGCCAAATATATGACCCCACCCAGACAAACAGGAATACTGGAAGTTACACACGCACAAATACACAAACACAAGCAGAGACACAAACCCCACACATGCAGATAGGAAGACTGCCTGGCTGGAGGGCTGGGGGCGGAGGGGCTCCCGGGACTCAGCCTCTTTCCTTCAAGCTCCGCTCTCAGACTCACACTGGGATGGACGGGCTCAGAAGTCCTCCTTGGCCAAGTGCATGGAGCCCAGGACGCTGCCACCCTCCTGCCCCACCCAACTCCTGGCCCGCGCAGCTGCCCCTGCTGGGCATAAGGGCAAGTTAGATGAGCAGGAGCTGCTGACTGGCAGTGGCTGGGCACTCCCTCTGCAGCTTTCCAACCTGGGAAGAACAGGGGCCTGGGGAGGGGGCCACTGGACAAAGAAAAGCTTCTAGAAAGAACAGCGACCAGACCCTTCCCGGCTCCTCCCTCTATTTCCAGCCACAGCCTTCAGGAAGCCACAAAGACCCTGTTGATATCTGGGGAAGAAGCAGGCTGGGCAGGCTACCTCCCCCAGTGCTTGTCTGGCTGGTATTCACCAGGCACCCCCCATCCAGCCTTCCACTCAGACAAGGCCCCCATGGGGGGTCTGGGCCCAACCCTAAGGCATAGAGTCCAGCAGAGGGGTGCTGAGTGGCTGCTGGACAGGGCACAACCTCAGGGCCTTCAAGGGTGAGGCAGGGGCAGCTAGGGGGGACAGGGAGAGGAGAAGAGTGGTGGAAGACAGACAAAAGGGTAAGCAGAGAGATGGAGCAGAGCCCCGACAGGAAGGGGGAAGAGGGGAGGGAGGGCCAGGCAGGCAGAGGCAGAGGGAGGAGACAGGGAGTGGTGTACCCCATCCCTGGCAGCAGCAGACTTCTTCCTAGAAGGAGGGGGAAGGTGATGGCCCTGGGGGTGGGGCACAGGGAGACGTGGGAGGCTTCAGAGGAGAGAGCTGCGGGGCGGGGGAAGCAGGAGAGGGAGGTGTCCGGGATGGGCCAGATCAGAGCAAGTAAGAGCGACTGTGAGGGCAGGGATGCTGCAGGCCCATTCCAGATGGCCCCACCCAGGGACCCAACCCCAGCCCATCGTGAGGGCAGAGGACAGGGCAATGAGCACCCTGCTGGGGACCCTAGAGGGGCATCCAGACCCCCTGCGTCCCCCACTGTCTGAACCACGGGGGATGGGGGGCACGGCCCCCACTCATGCCCACAGAGGGAGGCCTGGCAGGCCAGGGGCTTGGCTGGAATCCCCATCCTTGCAGACCTCCTCACAGGACCCCACCGCTACCCGTGTTCTCCCGTGAACGTGCCCTCCTGGAGCCTGGGCCACTCTGCAAGGCCACATCACCCTCACATCCAGAAAAGCACCCAGTTGCAGCCATTTCAAGCTTTGAAAGGGATCTTGGTGATCAAGGAACCTACCCCCATGGGAAAGGGACCGACTGTCCCAAGTCCTTGGGCTGGGGGCTGGCCAGTATGGCACACAGGCCTGTCTCCTCGACCCTTACGGGCCAGTCCTGGCCAGGTGCATGCCAAGGAAGGCGCCAGCTGTAGGTCCAGTGGTGGAAAGGGCTCAGAACTGGGAGAGGCCGATTGGGGGCACAACCTGGGCACCCTGCTCACTGTAGCAGCCTTCAGGCCAGGCCCTTCCTCACTCTCTGCCTCCCTTTTCCCTTCAGATAATCATCAAGAAAAAAAGAAAACAAGTGACACCCCACGAAGACAGGGACGATGCTGGTCCAGTGTGTCACTGGCGCTTCCATGGGCAGCCCAGAGCCTGGCCCAAAGGAGCACTGGCAGTGAGCAGCTGCCCAGTACATGACTGCCCATCGCTGGGATGCTTAGCACCCGGGTAGGGAAGCTCTTCACTGGCTGCAGGGCAGGGGACCCCGCCACCTTGAAGCGCTGATTGTCCTCCTGATGCTCAGCAGGAGGCTGGCAGCTGGGAAGGGGAGGGGGAGGAGCCTTTTAGGAGTGCGGTGTAGCAAACCAGGGAGGCTGGGGCGTGCTGAACGTGTTTCCCTCTTGGTGATCAGATCACCAGCGATTCTTAATTTCTTTTGTTCTTTTCTGTATATTTCAAGTGTCCTACAATAAGATGTATTATTTTCGGGATCATACACACACAAACATCAATAAATATGGAGAGAGACTCAGTTGCAGCAGAGAGAAATGACCAGGAGCCAGGGAGGTGGGAAGGTCCCAGGCCCAACCCTGCCCCGAACTTCCCATGTGGCCAAGACAGCTAAGTCCTCAAAGGCTCTGGGGCCCACAGGTGTGCACATGTGGGGCTGCATGGGAGCTGTGCCAGGGAAGAGGCCGGGCTGGGCCAAGTCCCACCACCTGCAGCAAGGAGCCGATGGGAGGGGAGAGGCCCCCGACTCAGAAAGATGACACTGGGCAGCAGCCCCCGGGGAAAGAAGGGAGGACTGCAGTGATTTATGTCAGGGCCACGTGAGTCAGCAGAGATGGCACTGGGCTGCCCCGATGCCCCTGCCTTCAGGGTGGGGTTAATAAGGGCAGGGTAGGGGGTGCCAGGCCCCACTCCTTCTGGGGAAGGGGCAGATGGCTCTAGGCCTGCCTTCCTGAGACGGGCAGTGATAGGTGGGGGGTCCAGATACCCTGTTGGGGGCAATGGATTGTAGTACGTGTTCTTTGCAATCCCTGCCAACCAAGAGGCCCCAAAAGTCTGTCTTGGAAAGGAAGGAATAGGAATCGCTGACCCCTCCCATAACCGCACAGAGATGGGAAAATGTGGCAGTGGGCAAAAGACCTGCAATGCGCAGGAACCGTCTGAGCCAGTGAGGCCCACCCTCCTCACCCCGACCTGATGGACCCTACCTGATGGACACCCATGCACGGGAGGCGCAGCAGTGTGTGCCCGAACCGACCTCACCCACTGCAGCCCTGACTGGCCACAGAGCCTGTGGAAACGGGCTCCAGAGGTGCCCTGCGCCTCCAGGGAGGAGCCCCTGGCTCTGCGGCAGGTTTTCAGGTGAGCCCGGAGGAGCCCAGGCTGGGATTTGGAAAGAAGAAGGAGGAGAACAAAGCCCCCCCAACCTTGGGGCGGAGGGGCAGAGGCAGCGCCCAGTCCCGTTCACTCCCTTCCCCCCCTTGCAGGGGCGGCTTATTCCAATCTCCCCCTCACCACGCTGTCAGCCGGGGTTTTCCACCAAACTGGGCTCTCGGCTGGGGATGAGGGGGCAGCCACGCCCAGGGCCACACCCCACGGCGGCCGGTGAGGGAGCGCTCAGCCCGATCTGGCTTCTTTTCTCAGACACGCATACGCGCACGGGGACCCGCCAACTTCAGCCCCCGCCTGCCCACACAGACCCTACCTGACGCCCCCCGCCCTGTTCTCTCGCCCAGGCCAGCATATGGGGCGCCGCCCAGGTACCCTTCACCTGTCGGGCTCG